GGCCTGCGATGAGGGGTGGCGGCCGGTCTGAAGTTCCTGCGGCGGGTGTCATTCCAGGGAGCCGACCGACCGCGGCCGGCGCCGGGGCGTCGTCGGGCAGGCGACACCTGTTGCATTCCGTAACGAGAGCCGGGGCCTGCTCGGCCGGGGCCGCGAGGGACCCACGGGGGACCGCCGCCCGCCGCCGCCGCGGGGTCCCCCGGCCCAGCCCGGCCCGACGCACTGTTCGCAGAATCGCTTGTCACGCGCGCGACGTTCTGGCGATTGATAGAGTCGGCGGCTCGGCCGGCCGCGGCCTGGCTCCCTGACTGCCTCCTGTTCGCGTCTTCCAGGGAGCAGCCACCGCGGCCGCCGCCGCCTGCTGGGTGCAGTCCACCCCTAAGCCCCCAAGCGGACGCGCCGTGTCACGAAACAGCTGATCACAAGACTCCCCGCGCTGCGAAGGGGGCATCTTTTCTGCCCCTGCGTATCTACGTCTACATCTGCCCCGGTGGCGCCCCCCGCCCCGCCCCGCCCCGCCCTGCAGTGCCAAGCCCTGCAGTGCCACGCCGTGCTAGGCTTCCGGCCGCCACAGGAACGGCGCGCTGCGTTCCTGGAAGGCGGCGCGGGCGCGAGGCGCTCTGCACGGCGCGGCGCTCTGCACGGCACGGGGCGCGGCACGTGCCGGAGAGCAGCGCGCCGGCGCCGCCGCCTGGCAACTAATTGGGTCATGCAGCGCGCGACTATTCAAATATCAGCAGCTCTGCTCTAAAACTCGTGACGCTGCCGATGTTATATATGTGGTCCAAATAAAACAGGAGACTATTCAACTAACCTGTACGTGTGGAGGGACTGGGTAAAAAAGGTGGTTCTAATGGTTGTTCTGAAATGAGTGTAGCATTCCATTCTTTCAAAAACAAAAATTCCATTTAAAAATAAACGTTTTCAAATTAGTGTTGCACGCACATCCATTCCATTCTTGGAAAAACAAAAATTTTATTTAAAAAGAAATCTTTCTCGTCGTTTTTGTGGATGGATGTTTGACGTGCATGGGGGGCTACGTCAATGTTTCCCAATTTCAACCCCTTTCTTTCTCACTGGTCTGAACTCATTTTGAGCCACTTGCCACTCTCTTCTCCCCCCTCCCCCCTACCGCCTCACTTCTGCCCGGGCAGACTGACTGAAGAGGCAGAGCGAATTGCGTTCACAGCGGAAAATGAAGAAGCCCGCGACACGCTAGACGCGAGTCAGGAGATGGCGCGCGCGCACGTCGCTGTGTCCGTGTGTGTGTGTTGGGGGGGGGGGGGGGGGGGGGGGGGGGGGGGGGGGGGGGGGGGGGGAGCGAGCGCGTGCGTGTGATGGAAGGCAGCCGATCCGGTCGTCTTCTAATTGCCAGTAGGCTTAACCCTCGGCTCGGATTGCAAGAACCGAGCATTGCGAGAACAAAACCTATCCATGTGCACACTCTCGGGAAAAAGACGGATTATTTTGTGCACGTTTTAAAATATTGCGTGTGCGCCGCGGTCAGCATTCGCAGTTTTTGAACGCGACTGAGCGCGCCGCCGGGGGGGCGGGCGTCGCTGTCTGTTGTCAGGTTACGCGCGACGCGCCCTTGACGCAGTGCACCAGGCCTCACCGCCCTCAGCGTCAAGGCCCTCCGGGTCATGAAGCAAGCCTCTGTGTGTGTGTGTGTGTGTGTGTATTCGCCCCCTCCCCCTCTACCAACTTGCATCACCTAGAAGACGGCCTTACCTATCCTCTATGCACAATTGCACACACGAGCTCGCTCTAACCTCTGCGGGGCCTCCCACATCTCGAGCAGCCTGAGCCCCACGGGAGTAGGCGTGTCCCGCGGCGCCCGCCGCCCGGCTCGTGCTGCAAAGCAAAGAGTCGAGTCGTCGCGCGTCGGTGTCGTCTCGTCTTCTCGTTTCGAGTGGATCATCTGACCACGAATCGATATGAATGAGGACGAGCCGCCACAGTCTGGCGCTACTTTCCCCGCGCGCGTCAACCCCATTGTGCATCCTCCTCATCTCATACTCCCTAGTGCGGGCGCGCGCGCGCGCTCACACACACACACTCACACTGACGCAAAAACGGCACGTTATATTTTCCCAGGGGGCCGTTGCTCCCGCTGCGTTATCTGGCTGCATGTCGAGGCCTTGGCTCGCAACCTTCTCACGGGCGCTCTGCTCCGCTCGGCTCACTCACACCCGGCGCGGCGCAGCCCGGCCCGACAACTCTAGCCCGGCTAGGCGGAGGAGGGCGGCACACTCCTCGACAGCACTATTACGGGGCGCGAGCAGCAGGTGACCGAAGGCGACACGTCCTGTTTCCTGATTGTTTTCCGCTATCTTTCAGTATTCCTGCTGCTTGACCTTTAAGGTACTGACAACAACGCGGTTGTTTTCGTCAGATACGAGATAATTCTTTTCTAAATCGTCCGCAAGAAGACTTGTCTATACCAGTTGGAAAGCGCAGAGCGGGCGCAGCAGCACGCGTCTGTGGGTTTGTGGCTGGCGCGCTTGGGCAGGCCAGGCGCTGCCGCTCCGCCACTGCCGTTCCCCGCATGAGGTGCTCGGGAGGGTAGAGGAGAGGCGCGAAAGAAGTATGTGCATAGGACGTCACGTTAAATGGAATTTGACAACAGACTTCGAATGTGACATGAGTCACGGTCTTCTAAATGTGACGTCACAGAGTGTTAGAATGAGGAAGTTGCCCGATAAGAGGAACAAGAAGAAGGTAGCGCTGAGGAGGTGGCGTGGCGTAGCGCCGTCCCTAAACAAAGCAGAACGCGGGCGACCATACTGTGTTTTGTCGCAAGTGGATGTGTGATCATAAATCAAGTTTTGTTGAATTTCTAAAGAAAAATAGGGTCCATAATAGACCGGCGTAACAATCTTGTGTCAAAAAGTGCTTCTGTAAAGTTTGGCTTCGGAAAAGTAAGTTTATACAATCTTCTAAACCGTCCCGGTGTCGTTGTTTAGGTTAGTGTACGGACATGTTGCATTGGTACAATTTTAACTCATTGATAATGATTCAACTGTCGTAAAAAGCTTTGGTATAGGTGGTACCAAGGTGCTGGATGCATAGGCCCGTTCTAAACTGTTTGAAATCTAACGACACGCATCCTAACCTCTGCTAGACTGTCGCTCATCTTCTGCTTTGTTTAGGGACGGCGCTACGCCACGCCACCTCCCCAGTGCTACCTTCTTCTTGTTCCTCTTATCGGGCAACTTCCTCATACAAGTGACATATGTTAAATGTAGTAGCCTTTTTTGAGTGAACTGTACGAGTTCAAATCAGCAGTGACAATGATGGCAAAATTGTCTCACTCATTTCGAGCACGCGACGCCTCACTCCAAGGTTTTCAGTGAGGAAGCAGTCAATCGCTGGACCACCGGCGCTATGCTGCGCTCTGCTTGTGGGTCTGCGCTATGCTCTGCGCGCCTCTTTGAGATGATCGAGTGTCCGGCGATAGTGTGCCGGCGGGCAACTCAAAGTAGTGTTCACCCACACGGAGTATTAGAGGTAATGGAGCGCTGACGTGCGCGCGCGCGCGCGCGCGTGTGTGTGTGTGTGTGCGTGTGTGTGTGTGCGCGCGCGCGCGTGTGTGTGTGTGTGTGTGTGTGTATGTGTGTGTGCGCGCGCGCTCGCCCGCTCCGCGAGCGGTTAAGCACTGTGGTTGTGGGTGTGCGCTGCTCTAATGTGCAATCGCACTAATTGTATCCCCCCGACGGACGAAATATTTTGCTACAAATTACTGGGTATCCATGTCTTTCTTTGCGGCATGACCTGGCACTGCAAGACTTTGTCGCAGCAGTTAATTATTTAGAAGTGAAAATACGTAAACAAAGCCTACGGCACAGACACTGAAATCTGTTTTGTGATACTTTTTTATATAATATATTTTCTGCAATGAATTGTGTTTTGCGATTTCCACTATGCATCGCTCGCATAGGATGCAATAACACGTTATTGCATCTAAAATGCGATACCTAATATTTGGAAAAAATCTGATCTCAGTTATATGCACACATAAGTCCGGTGCTAGTTAGAAATACTGTCCTTGGGCATGTAGAGTGTCAGATTGATAAACAATAGGATTCGCCGAATGCCATTTGTTATGGCAAGATTTTGTGTCAATTTTATCGCAAATCCACTGGCAGTGCTTGAGTAAAAGGAGTCGCCAAAAAAAAATAAAAATAAAAATAAATGTCATGACAAATGTTTGTTTAAAATTACACCAGCCTGCTCAGTGCATAGTTTAAACCGCACCCTAATATCGTTGATTACTTGTTGAATCGAGGAGCTGTCGCAGAGCCTGTCGCGCGCGTCATAATGCGTACAGGGCACAGAGGGACGGCAGCAACTGCCCAATTAGTACTCGGCCCGACACGCGGCCGTCCCGCCGTTTGTCACTGCAGCCCTCCTCTCAGCCCGCCCGACAACGACACCTGCTCAGCTCGCCGACTGCGCTGCTGTTTCCCTTCCGCTAATTCCTCTCCGTGCTGTAATCCCCGACCACGCCCCGTGTTTGTTTGACTCTGAACATCAATCTGAATGCGATTTATCGATGCCCCCATCCTGTCCCCCTCCCGCCCCCCTCCCTGATCTACTCCCATGGCTCGCCGGCTGACCCGCTCTCCCTGCCGGCCGCAGCAGGTGTCTCGGACGAGTAGAGGTTAGGTGTTCCTTCGAGAGAAACATGGTCACCCCCCCTCCCCCCTCTCCACCTCTCTCCCTTTTTTCGCCCTCGTTGTTCGTTTTATTTTTATTTTCTTGTGCTTGTCATTTTTTTTTCCGCCACCGCGGTGGGAGGCTTCCGAGACGAAACTTGTCCTTGATAAGATTACGCGCGGAGGTGTGACCGATACGTCTTTGTCCTTGTAATCCACTGACCGACTTGAATTTTCGCAATCCCGAGTGCGCGAGTGTTTAATTGGCGCAATGCACGATAACGCGTCGACGCGACGCGCAGGAAAAAGGGTTCGAAAACGATCGTCCCGAAAAAAGAAAAGGTGGCGGAACCGTGGCGAAGTGTTTCGAGTGCGTTCCATTTTCGCGGCATTACCGGCCGACGGTCTGCCCCCCGCCCAGCCGGCGCTCCCCTCGGCGTCGCCTTGTCGCGACCAATTTCTTTCCAATTCCGCCGAGTTAACGACACGCCGGTGCACCGCATTTGTAAACTGCCTTCCGCGTGGATCTCTAAACGTATGCAACTCGTAATGGAAGCTGCCAAGATCATTTACTGTCTGCATTTCGTCGCCCCCACCCACCACCGGCGCGGGCTCGGCAGCCGCAGCCGTGACAGCTGGCAGACCACCCACCCCTAGCGCGGCGGGGCGCGGCGGGGCACGGCGCGGGGCAGACGGCAGGAGGAGCAGTGTTCTATAAATCCAAATCAAAGTCACGTTCAAAGGCATTACTGGGAGGATTTGGCCTAAGACAGTGTCTCGTCGCGGCCCAGCCTCGACCCAGCCGAACACACATAAATCGTGGAGCAATCTGACCAAAAATATAAGGGTCGGTCGGCGTGGCGGCGGGCGCAATGGCGAAAAGCTATGCGCGGCGCACCTGTAGCTCACTAAGATGTTCACGCATCTCCTGAAGCATGAAAAAGGGCTGCGACAGATCCTTTAGATGCAGTTAAATGAGCCGCATAAATCGCCGCGAGATGGGCAAAGGCGAGGGGGAGGGCTGGCAGGCCGCCAGCAGCAGGCCCGGCCCCGCCAGCCAGCCACGCGCCCGCCGCCGTCGCTGTCTAGGACTCGTCCCTCGCCACCGCGTCACCGCGCCTCCACGCGGCACGGATTAGTTTGTGCGAACATAACCTCGCCCAAGCCCAAGACCCACACCGAAGTCAAAAGTTGAGCAAACCACACCGTTAAAGTCAGAACATCGCGAAGAATTTGTTGGGAAAAAGTTTTCCAAAACTCTTCGTGATTTTTTGGGAAATCAAAGCATTTGTTCCCTTTGTAAAAGTTAATCAACTTAATTAGAAGTATTAGGGCTGGTCTAGCATTTCAAATTGAGATGACGAAATGCTCGGTTTTCTACTGTGAAGGAGTGTTCGCAGTTACAGAGCAAGTAGTGTTAGGAAATCCTAAACTATTTTTAACAGTGTACAGTGACAATAGCTTGGCGTGGTGGAGTGGACAACAACGTACCCCCCCCCCCCTCTGCCACACGATTTGTGAACTTCGCCGTCCCCTCCACTCCACCTTCTCTAGGTCTAGGACCGCAGACTGTGCGCATGCTGCCTGCTCCTCCAGCCCGAACATCATCATGATGTGCTTTCACTGCTGCGTGCCGCTCGGCGTGCCGTCCGCGAGCTGCCTAAAAAGTGTCGCAGAGCGGCTCGGCTAGGAGCGGGGCGAGGAGGGCCGCGCTCCGCTGTCTGCACACCGCCAAGCGCGGGCAGATTCAAATTAGTGATGGGCAGGCTGGCGCTAGCTGGCGAGCGCGGAACAAAGTAATGACCCGAGTCTAGCTTATTTCGTCCCCCACACCCACACCCCCGCACCGCCCAGGCGCGCCAGCTAGCTAGAGTTAGCTACCGCCAGCTACCGCCCCACCGCCAACGAGGCCGAGTCGATAGAAGAGATGGCTCTGTTGTTGTGTGTGGCCCAGAGCACAGCACAGGTGCTGAGAATGACCACGCGCACTGACCGTGGCTCATAACCCTAATTCATTCGTTTCCGAAAAAAAAGCAAAAGACAAAAGGGCGTTTTACCACCTCATTTTGAAATAAAGCAGTGCAATAACAGGAACAGAAATTGAAGTAACTCGTTCTCTTTAGTAGTTGACGAAAGGGTGCTGACTGCTGGCGTATCATAGGCGTACCTTGTTTTGGCAAGTTGGCGATAGATAGAGACATGCTGACGTTACAGAGGAAGCCGTTATCAGGGGGAGTCACACCCACTACTAGAGTAGCTGTCGATGCTGCGAAATGTATGGCTAATCAGATTTCAGAAGTGAAAGCTAAATTAGTGCCGCTGGTACGAGGAGGATTCCCGATAAGAGGAACGTGGAGGTAACCTACTGCTGGGTGGTGTGGCGCGGCGATGAGGCAGAACAAAAGCATGTATTTTTTTAAAGTAGTGAATATAAGTTTTGGTATCACCAAATACCGTCTCACTCAACCGACAGCTGGAAAAGAAGAAAGAATTGTCCGAGCTGAAAAGTCTCCTCTGCGGACGACGGAAAGTCTGAAGCGTGTTGTTGACAAAGACGGCGAGCTTGACTGGCGTGACGCTGGGGACCGATAAGAAAGTCGCAAAGTGGACGCGGCCAGGGAAGAAGAGATTGATCTCTTTTGCAAGCCATCGCACGTTATTATTTTTCTCGAAAGTAAACAAAAACATTTTGAAATGTTTTTGTACGTTTTTGTCGCGACCAAAGGCTGGATCTGGATAGGAGCAGTTTGTAGGGAGGTGACCCGCCCAGAGCACTTTGACGTTTTTCGGTACGAGGAGGTTGGGGGGTGGGGGGTGGAGGCTTGAGGCGGGCGATTTTGACATCTCCATAGAGCTGTTCACAACTTGAGAGCTGTCACACACCCGTCCTACCGCCTTGCTGCTTGCTGCCGAAGTCTGCTGAGTCACCCGGAGAGCCCAGGAATACCGCCTCTAGCGTTCGCTCTTTGGCCTGCAGCTATTTTATTTGCGCACTAGGGCTGTCAATAATAATAGTTTCTGTCGCCGCCGGGCGCCGGTTAGCAGCAGCGGGCTGCTGCACGGCACCTGACAGGGCTGCCGTCCCGTAATCACAGCATGTTTGAATACTGAAGGGACTCGGGGGTCGGCCTGCGC